AGCCCCTCCAAACAGAGACTGCCTGGAGAGAAAAAAAGGGTAAAAGATGGCTACTGATCATTAGACCAGGCCAACACCCTGCCAACAGCAGCATAACAGAGCTGCCAGAACCAACACCTGCCTTCCGGCGCAGGCCACCCTAAACCAAGCCCAACTGCCTGCTGAAACCGTACACAGCGAGACTGTTGCTGCCAGACTCTGGAGCATGCAGCGACAGGGCAGAGCTCTGCCACACTGTTGCTGCTGCTGCTGCTACTGTGTCAGGGGCCTGCTAGCGGCTGTCGCATGCTGCAGCGCGCCAGACAGAAACACGATACTGCTGATGCTGCGTACTCGAGGACGGCTGCACGCCTTAAGGACGTCAATCCAGCAGGGGCTGCAAACCTTCGATGCTGCTCCGACACCAGCCTGCAATGGCGCAGGACTGCAACAAAGGCCCCGCGAGATGAACCTCTGAAATTCCAGACGTTGTCGAGAAGGCAGCTAGGCGGTATCGGAGGTGCCAGAGAAGCGGCACCAACGACTGCACACGTCAGACTGATGCTGCTCGCCTAGTGCAAGGTCCAGGAGCTGCCAGCCCGTCAAAAAAGCTGACTGCTTTAGATCTAGCACTGTAAGGCCGCTGCCGGTCTTCTATGCTGTCGCTTGCGACTCGCGGGCCGCGCCCAGCAAAGGCCGGGTGGGCAAAGCAGAGCCGGAGCAGTTTAATGCCTTACTCAGGGTTACTAAAGAAGCAACCAAGTGGCAAAACGTAACTAGCCAGCCGGGAAACCGCCTTACTCAGGGCAATCGGTAAGTTGGACATTCGGTCAATAACACAGTTTTGAAATGAAAATCGCAAAACTTGCAGTCTCCATCCGCTTCCTCTTGCTCCGTCAGCTCCATTAGCTCAGTCGGTTAGAGCGTGGGTCTTATGAGCCCAAGGTCACGGGTTCGAGCCCCGTATGGAGCACTATTTTGAGGCCTCTCTGCTGCCTGGTTCTGTCTTTGCAGGCATCAAGAACTGATGAAACCGACAGTGAAGGGGTCGAGCTATGCGCTCAAGGAAGTTTACCACTGCATGTTCTATGCAACCTCATCAAGGCACATCCACACCACGTCGCAGCCCACATGGCAGCTTCTTTGCGTACACCTCCCGCATGTACACCCCGCTGCCCTCCACGCCATCATGCGGCAGCGACTGGTTGCCCATCGCCTCCACAAAAACCTGCAAGTAAAGAGCACGTCCACACATCAGTCAGCAGCATAATGGTACAATACGCCAACAGCAAAGGGCATTGGCATGGCCAGCAAAATGGACCCACACAATCTGTCTTGCAGCAGTCCTCAGCCCCGTAAGTCACCGCTGAGCAACTTCTTCTGCAAGTGGCAGGTACTGCATGCACACACTAGCAGCACGCTGCACTCAGTGCCGTCCTCTTGGTCAAGCAACATGGTTTTGCAGGGGTGTGGCATTGGGGGGCTGTGCTGGTGGTGATGTGATGCATGGGCAGTTCCCCGCCGTCTTTGACAGTCTCATAATCAAACATGCACTGCACTCGCGCCGTCAGGCGCTGGGACGCAGCCTCACCTGCACCAGGTTTCTGAGGTTCTTGCGGTTCCCCGACACCTTGACGGTGACGTTGTCCAGGCCCGCCAGGTCGCACAGCTCCGTGACAACGGGGTTGGCGCTCACACCAAAGCCCAGCTGGCGCGGCCACACCTGCATGCGCACCTGCACGGCAACCAAGCACACGCGCAGCATGGTGGACAAAACCCCTGTGTTGACGCACAAGGCAACCATGCATGCACGAGGCAACCCAGCATTGCTGTGGAAGGCCCCCACCACTAACTCGAAGTGAGCATGCAGCGCCCACCAGCAGCGGCCCAACTTGATGCATCTCCGACTGCTCGTGTGATGCCCACCATGCCTGAGCAGCTGACAGTCACACAAGCGCTGTTGCGACTGCTGCGACTGCCTCTGCTGCTGGTGTGTTTGAGGCAAGCTGTCCTGCTTGGTCGCTGTTGCTGCTGCTGCTGCTGCTGCTGCTGCTGCTGCTGCTGCTGCTGCTGCTGCTGGCTGCTGCACGCCTCACCTTGCGCACTGTGACGTCGATGGGGTGGTACACAGTGTGCCCCCTGTAGCGAGGGATTGCCACGAGGTTCTGGTAGGCCTTGAGCTGAGCATCCAAGGTGACCTTCTGGATGTTCTTGCCGCTGTGCTGCCCCACGCCGATGAGGCCGTCGTGGTTCCCGACCACCACCAGCGCATGGAGCGTCTCGACCTGCGCTTCAGCAGACAGCCCGCAGGACGGCGGGTTAAGGCAGCACGCGTTGCCGTACGCACCATGGCAATGGTGCGCGCTGCACACACGCATGGCACATCACAGCCAGGACAAACCACATGCCTTGTGTCGCGCAACCACCAGGGCGGCAGCCGAGCAGCAGCGTGTCGATGCTGTGGACGGCTTGCGTGGCACGCATCCATGCCAGGCGCAAAGCACCCCTGCAGCTGCCTACCTTGCCGCCCTTTGTGACCTGTACCGTCCTGTTCACGTCCAGCAGCACCTCATCCCAGTGCGGGCTGATGAAGTGGGCGCGCTTGAACTCGTTGGGCAGGGCACTGCCCTCCAGCTGCTGGCGCAGCAGCATCGGCTCCTCAAGCACAGCATCACGCTCACCATCCACCTGCAGGAGGCCCGAGCACAAGGACACATGTGCTTTCATATGGTGTGCATTGCTGACGAGGCTGTGCCGGTGTCCTGGGGGTGGCGGCGAAGCTGCGTCGCGCCTGCAAACATAAAGATGCTGCATTGCAAGGCCTGCTGCAGCACAGCGTGAGGCAGTCACTGGACATGAGCAAGCATGTGCTGCTGCTTGCGCTGACCAGGCAGCCAGGCCGCTTTGAACAAGCACTGCGCCAGTCAAACTACAGACCTGCAGCAAGTGTGCCTGATGTTGCAGCAGCTGACATGCCAGTTGATTTGAGCACACCACCATACCGCTTGAACGCTCGGGGCATGCACTGCCAGAGCCATGCTCATATAGGGGAATGCAACCATTGCCTCATGCAAGCTAGGCAAACAAACAACTTTTCCTAACAAACCCTGAACCAACTTGCGAGCTTGTCCGCGCCCAGTGATGCAAGTGCTGCGCATCAACCGTCTGCGCCGCATTATGCTTTCCAGCAGTGTTGTCTCACCTGTCGTGGGTTGATCAGCAGAGGGTCCCTCTCCTTGAAGGGATCCTCCTGTACATCATTAGTCTCATTGGGCTGCCTGATTGTCTCTGTTGCAATGCAGTTGCCAAGGTGCCTGCCCAACCGCAGCTGCGACAGCTCCACACGAGGCTGCTGCTGTTGCTGCTGATAGCGGTCTTGCCGTGCATCACCCCTGTCACTTCTCTGACCAGAGCGGAAAGCCCTTGCATATGAGCGGCTTTGCTGCCAGCAGTTGGGTAGCTGCTGCGGCTGCGGCTGCTGCTGCTGCTGCTGCTGCGACGGTGACGGCAGCGGCAGATGCTGCTGCAAGGGGGACAGTGTGCTGCGGCCGCTGCTACATTGTACTCCTGCTGCTGCTGCTACTGCTGGTAAACTGCAGCCACCTGCTAATGAGCTAAACAAATTGTTGTGGAACCGCTGTAACAAGCTGCCGTCTACCATGCCTTGGAGCTGCTGCGTCTGCTGCAGGACTGGTGCCTGCAGCACCAGATCTTGCACGGCCGATAGACAGCGCACCCGCACCATAGCAGCAACAAGTTGACCAAGCTGCACTGAATGAGGGTACGTAGGCACGGTAAAGCGCTAACAGAGTAGGTCGGAATACAGAGTCGCAAATTTGCAGTGACTTCTTGGCTTCTTGGGCGATTAGAAAGCGCCGTCAAGGGCATCGCATTGATCAGCAAGGGGCAACACATGATGGTGATGATTCACTCAGGAATGTAGGGGGCCGTAAGTGACAACTGACAAGCCATGCACAGCAGGCCAGAAAGGGGAGTCTAGGATCGGCTGCCGCTTCCTCAAGAGTGACAGATTATCTGAAAACTGTCCTCTTTAATCACCACGCCGCTCAGGCTGGTATCAGCTGTAGTCCTGGTGTGGCCTGATTGGCCACGTTGAGCCACGTCCGATACAGAGAGCGGTCGCAAAGTGGTTCATTCAAGGTGTGCAAAAAGGTGAGATGCTTTTCAGGGCTTGCATGTACGACCGATCTTGGGTTCCCGAGAAGGCGCCAAAGCACCAGCTATGGCCTGCCCGGGCTGTGGGCAGCTGTCCATGTCATGTTGCACTGTTTGCTCGGTGAGGCCACGCGCATCGATGGGCCTGCTCTCACGACCCAGCATCATGTCGTTTGTGGCTGTCACCACAGCAGTGCAGCAGGCTGCTGTTGGGGCAACCAAGAGGGTGTGCAGCACTGCTCAGACATGCAGCAGCATCACCACTGCCATCAGCTTCCACGGTTCTGATCTCCGTTCACATGCTTACCCTTTCTTTTGTCCGGCTGATTCGTCTGCTGCCCCAGGCCGGGGCAAGGCATGAAACCTTGTTGTCAGCGGTTTTCTGTCATTGAACAGTCAGTGGACAGCCGTCAACCCAGCAGATCCAAGCAGGTGCCTCACAGCAAGCATGAAGCGCCGTTCAGCCAGCCGGTGCACTTCCGACCTACTGCCGGCAGCTGCAGACCCAGCAGCAGGCTTTGTTGCAGCAGCAGCACCACTTGCAGGAAAGGTACCTGCAGGAACCGCACTTGCAGGAGATGCACTTGCAGGAGATGTACTTGCAGGAAAGCTGCCGCCCAGAGACCCCACCACCATGCGGCGCACACGCAACAGCAGCAGCAACCCAGCTACAGCACAGCAGCAAGCGCTGGCAGCTGGTGAGTCAGCAAGCAAGCAGCAGGCATTGCTGCAGGAGCAGCTGCAGCGCGGCCCTTCTGTTGCTAGTGTTGAGACCCCGCCCCTGCATGAGGGACCCCGCGCACTGCCGCCTGCTGTGTCGTTGGGCGCACGCACCGCACAGTGACCAGCAGGAGCACCACACCGCAAGCAGCAGCAGCCTCTGCACAAGACCTAGATGCTGCTGCAGAGGCAGCAGCGACAGCATTAGCTCTAGCAGCAGGCTCCCAGCCTGCTGCTGCTGCTGGCGGTGGCAGGAGCAGGCATAGGCCAGCAGGCCGGCAGGGCCGTGCAGCTGCTGCTGCCAAGAGCTACCATGAGTCATGCTCTGACAGGGATGGCACTGCCAGCGAGGGTGAGGCCAGGCGTGATGCAGCAGCTGCGAAAGCAGCAGCGGCAGCAGCAGCATTGCCAGCTGCAGCTGGGGGCTTGCTGGATTTTGATGGGGCCGTTGATGACGACTTCATGGCCCCTTCTGGCAGGCCCCTGCGCGTCATGCCCAAGTTGCAGAAGCAGCAGCAGCAGCGCCAGCGCCAGCGTAGCAAGTCAGCTGCAGCGGCAGGCAGTGATGGTGACTTGAAGCTGCCAGGCACGCCCAAGCACAGGGCAGCAGCAGCAGCAGTTGCTGCTGATGCAAATGCTGCTGGTGTTGCTGTCGCTGCAGGTGAGGCTGCTGCAGCAGCAACAGTTGATGGCTGGGGAAAGAGCAGCACCGCCAGGAGGCTTCGTGACAGGTCGTCGACACCTGCAGCAGCAGGTGGCTCGTGTGGCAGTGATGTGGTGCTACTGACCAAGGAGGTGGCAGCAGCAGCAGCAGCAGCAGCAGCAGCAGCAGATGACGATGATGACGAGGTGCAGGTGGTTGGCGAGTCACCTGCACCCGCACCCAAGCGGCGCCGGCGGGCTGGCAGCAGCAGCAGCAGCGGCGCAGCAGGAGATGGCTTTCCATCGTTTGTTGCTGCTGAGGCGTTTGATGGCGCCATGCCTCGCTTTGAGTTCCGGCAGGAAGGCGCTTGGGGCAGCGGCTTCTACCGCACAGAGGGGAGCTGCTGCTGCTGCTGCTGCTGCAGCCGCAGAAGT